GCCACCTCACTGCTTATCAGTGTTGCATCCATCCCCACCTATTCTGTGGGTGTGGTAATTTTAACTGCTTCCTTTGGGGTAAAATGCTGTGGCTTAATTTCCACTTATCATGCAATAGGAGCAGATGGATAAAACCGTTACCGTAGATTTAACAGAATTGTAGCAGTTCCTGTTCTCCCTCTTACAAGGATGATTGTGTTTCTGTGTCCATCCTGTCCAGAAAAGTTCAAAAGGATGTCTACTATCCCAGTTTCCTACACACCACATCTCAAAGTATCCCTTAGCAGCTTAAAGAAAACTTAAGACCTTTAGTACAAAAGACCAGAACTCTTTTTAAAAATACCATTTTAAAGAGGGAGAAGAGACCAAGGGAGCTGCCATTTCTTCAGATCCTTGAGGTGAAGCACAAGTCTGGAAAATATTTGTAAAGCTCCTTGTGTAGTAATGTATATAATTGACTCAGGAATACCTAAATCTGCATGTTCATATTTTGAAAATGCATGCTGTAAAAGAACTCTTTTCATTATTTTCCCATCTTTAAGCACAAAATAGGTTTCAGTTTAAAGCTCTAAAATGATTTCCCACTTGACCTTGCCCTAGTGTGGATCCCATTTGAATTCTGAGTGGCTTCTTGCGGGCTCAAAGTTTGCCTTGTACCCATTTAACTATAGAATTGCTTCTAGTTATTAGTGAGGTAGTTAAAATGAATGAATACATAGTGTGCAGATAGGCTAGAACATGGGCGAGGGGTAGGCAGCCTTTTTGGGTAAACAGGCATGCCACAAATTAGCCCCACTCCCTCCCTGAGTGCCATTCAGATGCCTTTCCCTTACCCAGTCTGCTGATCTGCTTTCCACTTCCTGTCCTGTGCTCCCTGACCAAGCTGCTGCTCTTCTACTTCCTGCCCTGTGCTCCTTGGCTAAGTTGCTGCTCTCTTTTCTGCTCCCCACTATCTGCCACTGTTCTATCTGTCCCCTCCCAAATCTGCCACATACTACACACAGGCTGCCTGTGCCATTTGTAACACACGTTTCAGGATGGTCACTGCTGAGCTAGAACATGATGGATCAACCTGGTTGTCGTAAGCAGCCTTGGGAGTTGTTGTTACCCTCTTCCATCAGGACTAGATGAAAGCATGTTTCTCTGAAAATGGATTTGTTTTAGAAAGATACTTAACATTTGAGCTTGAATACTTGGAGATCCTCTTCTGAAAGTTGCTAGAAATTGTATAGTTATTAGATATTGGTGATAATAAAATGAAACAATATTGCAGTCCTGATTGATATGTAGAAATGGATGAAAAGCTGTTATATTTGCAGGAATTGCAGAAGTTGAAAGCAACAGTGGAAGAGAGAATTTACAAAACATAAGAAATGTGCTCTTCAGTGAATCAGTCTCTTCAGTGACAATCCGTAGTGAAGTATTAGACAGTTAGGAGATGAGCTACATAAAGGGTACAGTTAACAGACTTTAGATGATGTGATTAAAGCAGACTTCAGATTCAGCAAACATGAGCATGGCTGAAGTTACCTCGAGCTGAGGCCGAGGGGCACATTTTTGTGGATGCTTTAGAAAGATAATTTTGGCAACTCTTTTTAAAAACCTGGGCAAATCCTTAGAGAGTTGTTTTATACCTTAGCTTTAAGTTAGTTGCTCTAGATCCCATGTTTACTGTATCAGAAGTCAATATTGATATAATTTTATTATGGTAAGAACTAGCAGTTTATTTTGATAAACATTTGTCAGACTTAGTAAGATGCAGACCCTTGGATTCCAATTAAGATGCAAGCAAATGTCCTTAAACCATCAGTGACAATGAAACTGAAAGGGATAAATTAATAATGGATAATATGTTTAGATCTACTAGCTATGTGCATAATTAAATGGCCTTTTTTATTTGAAGAGTGCTTGAAGTACTGAATGAATTTAATTTCTTAAGCTTATTTTAAATGAGGCACTTTCTGCATATTCTCCCAAATTCTATTTTTAACTCCTTTATATAAGTCTAGGATTATAGTACATAGTGTCTGGAAGTGTCCCTTGCTATTGCAGGTAGCAGTGCAATATGAAATGTTTCATAAATGGATCAAGCTCCATGTTAGAATTAGCTAGACTTTTTTTCTTGTTCCTTCCTCTATTCCTATTGGAAACGTTCTTCTAATGTCTGTCCTAAATGCATTCATTGCTAGGTTATACCCGTTAATTCTTATGCCAGCATTATCACTTAGTTCTTTTCAATGCCTAGTGTTCTTCATAAGCGGTTTACTTACTCTTAATGTCTTTGTTTAAAGGTGGCTAATCATCCAGTTCCCAAAAGACACTGTCCCTTTAGAAATAAGTATTGAAATTATTATTTGAAATAAACTCTGCTAATAGGGGAATAGTTTTTTGAACCCACCTTGATTCTTTGTGTGGATTAACTATTTGCAGATATTCTGTCCCAGCATGATGGAGTTACAGTACTTCATTTAGTGTCTTTGTGTAGTAGTGTTAACATTCATGTTTATTAATAATGAGGATAGAAGTATCCATAACTTTTTTTTTTTTTTGAAAGCAACACATGGTGCCATTGCTAGAGCCCAAAATATTTCCATAATCCGTGACACTCTCCTAGAAGAGCAGTGCAGCTAACACTCCTGTGCTTGTGGCTTCCACTCCATCATTGTGTATGAGAGCTCACTAAAGAGGTTTGATGTATGTGGGAGCCATTGTCAAGGCTAGTGGCATGCTGAGGCTTAAAGCTAAACAAAGTTATCATGTTTCCAGTTCTCTTCTGCACGTACTCAGTGCTTTGAAAGACTTGAGTCTACATAGCCTAAAACCCCAATTTAAGTTTAACAGCAATTAATTCTTAGTTCAATTGCTTTCCAGTCTTGAGTCAATTCACTGTTGAAACAGGCTGTTAGAGCAGTGCTCTGATGCTGGAAGTTGAGAGAGCCCACAGGTGTTGTCCCTGGATTCTGCCGCCCACACTCCTGTTTCTCCTTAAGGCTTCAGCAAGGCAGGTAGAGGATAACATGGATTATTGAGCCACTCCTCTCTTGTAATCAGTGTTCATCTCTTTGAACTGGAGATGAAAGCAGGAATCTGTGGGTTAGTAGGTAGGGAGTCTGTTTGGAGCTGTTACAAATGCAGGTTGAGGAGCTGTACCTGGCAGAGGGTCAGGTGAAAGTTCCTCGCCCATGAAACTTTTTGCTGCTGTCTCCAGCAGTTCTTTTGCATTATACTACCTGCACTGAGACTAAGGCTCCTCTGCCCAATTATCTTTTCTGTCAAGCCGGGGCTGGGGGAGAGAATACCAAAGTCTTCCAGCTTCCCTATTTACATATTTTGCAACATTATTTTCATTAATTGATGTGTGAAAGTGTTTAGAAGGGTTTTTTATTTGGATCGGTCTATAGTGTGCATAGAAACTGCAGGGGCCTCAAATATATACATCATATATGAAAACTGACAAAAGAAAAGTCTCCAGAAGTAACTTGTGTAACATGGATTTGCAAATCTTATTGCTAACAGTGTCATCTGTTGCTCAGCCATGTATTTCTCCATGTTGTTAAACATGATGTACCTTACAGGAGATCTGAAAGATTAATTGGGTATAGAACAGCAAGATCCAAATTATTCAACCTGGCATCCAAACTATTTTTAATTTTTTTAATTTTTTTTTTTTAAAGTAAAGTAGCCATGATAGGTACTTCAGGGCAGATTGCTCTTGTTTCTTTCACCCCAGGCTACTCTTCCATAGTGAGCAGAGATGACTTGTATCGCTCTACACCCTGTAGAGAGCAGGCCTGTTTCATGAAGAGGAGGGAAGCGAAAGGGAGTGACTATGTGTTTCACTCTGGCTTATGGTCTTATGGGGACCCTAACCAGGTGGCATGAGAAATACGTGAGTTGCTGAAGGTAAACCAGGCATGAACTTGGGTTGTTTCATCTATTCTACATTAACTGCCTGTGTGCTCATTCTTGCCCCATCCGTGAGCACAAGAGTAACTTTTATGCTGCTTTCATAGAGGTATAGACTACCTTGTATTTGCCACAGGGTAAGAGTAGACATGGGCAGTTAGCATATTGGCTGTTCTGTTGTGGAAGTTCACTCTGTTGCTTAACTTTCACAAGTGGCGAGTTTCACATGGAAAATCTTGGCAACAAAAAGTAAAAAGGGCATTGGGAGTGATGTAGGCTAAGGATGAGTGTTCAGTTTCAGGAAAATGTGTAGCACTGGAAAATGTGGTGAGAGGGAGCCTGCAGGTGTTCCAGCTGTACTACTGGATAGCACCAAAGTCACCTCAAAGACAAGCTCTCCAGCCAGGGGGGGACAGGGAGCCGCTCCTTGGCCACTCAACTCCCATGGCAAACTGGATCTGTCTCCAGCTGATACAGTGTAGGAGTCAGCTAGAGGTAGATGTGCTGCCTTGGCCCACATGGTGGTTTGGATGACTCAGAACTGTGCACTGGACAGGGCAATTCTCTGAGAGCGGTATCCTTCTGGGACAAGTCCAGTTGCAGGAAAATTTTGACCAACCCCGAACCTCCCACCCTGTACAAAACTTTGCATCACCCAGAACTGTGCATGGGGTAGGAGGCAGCATAGGAGGACCCACAGGGCTTCCTGACAGCTTCTGAGTGGCCTATTGGAAGTTACTCTCCTCTTCAGTGGAGCATCATGGGGTATTGAGGGTCCTCAGGAGCATACAGCTGTTCATCCTTTCCCAAGAGCAGGGCGATCTTCCTTGGTGAAGTGCTTCTTCCCTGCCCCATGGAAGAGTTCATTATCTTCATGGAAAAACAGCTTGGACATCTATGCACTCTGCATTTCTCTCATCATAAAAAAAGTTCTCTTGGCACAAACATAATAATTGTCCATAATCTTACCAATGTTTTGTTTTAGGAAAAACCTTACGAAACTTTCAAATGAATTGCAAGCCAATATTTGAACTTCTTGAAGCTCTCAGTTTTACTATTTGGGTTCATTTGGATGTTTTTTTCCTTTCCTTTAGGTTTCAAAAATGAGCAAGACAAATGGTTTGTCAGAAGATATAATATGGAATTGCAAAACACTGCTCAGAGAAAGAGATGTGGTTCTAAAACTTATGAACAAGTGTGAAGATATTTCAAATAAATTGACAAACCAAGTGACCAGAATCACTGAGGATGGTGGATGTGGATGGAATATAGAACAACCTTCTATTCTGAATCAAAGGTATTACTGCTTTTTAAAATGGATAGTTTGTCTGATACATAAAGGCTGAGATGAGCTTGAGAGCCAGTATTATTCTGGACTGCCTAAAGTTAACAAGTCAAGTTGATCATTTAATTTAAAAACTGAAGCAGCTACTGAAAGGAGGACTAGCCCTAATCTTCTTCTCAACTTTGCAAAGACATTCTTTGATTAAAAAAGGGAACTAGTTAGTCAGCTGTACTGATGACCTCAGGGATTTTAATGTAGGGGAGACCCAGAATGTGAAACTTATTTGGAACTTTTTTTTTTTTTTATAAGTCAGGATAGGGAAAACTTGTAGAGAAGGACGCCAGGTTTAATTGGGATAAAGCACCTCACACACAATATTGTAAATGGGTAGAGAGAAATGTAAGGAAAGGGCTGCTTAGAAAGGTACATTTAAGAGTGGAGTGAGAATTGCCAAAAGTTAGACATTGAAACGGATATTAAAGTGAATAGCAAAAAGTTTTTGAGTCATATAAACATAAGAGGAAAAAGGGTGGAGGTCAAGAGTTGGTGGATCTGTAGCCTGCATACAGAAAAGTAGGACATCGTCTTGTACTTGTTAACGTATCTCTAAGACTGACCACCAGGTGAGAGATTGCTTGCAACTTTTTTCCTACTTTCCCTGTAGTTGTGATGGCAATGCGAATTTGTTAAAGAGAACTAACTATTTTTTTTCCATTTCTTTTTAAGAACAACTAATGTTCATGCATATTTTCTCAAATACCACCCCCTCCCCTCCCAAATAAGGTACGCACCTTGTTTTGGGAAGGCAGAATGAAGGAACAGAGATTTTTCCAGAATTGTGGCTCAGTCCTAACTGCAGAAGCAGAGGATGCTCTGCAGAGTCAGCCAGTGCTAGAGCAGTGACTGTAAAAGGGTTAACACTGCAGCTCTAACCCCAGACAGTGAACTTTGCTTCTCCTCCCTTGCTACCAGCCCCAAGGAAGGAAAAAGCAGAGCAGCCATTACAGGTCTCCATGCTGCTTCCATTCCAGCACAGAAAATCAGCTACCCTTCTAAAGACATGCACCCCAGTTGTGGAGGGCTGATTTTGGGGGAAAAGGTGCATGTCCTATGCCAGTAAATATAGTAAATCAGTAATACAAAACTTATAAAATTATAAAGGGGTAAAGCAGAAAACCACTAGTGTTTCATTCAAAATACAGGTTTCCCTTGCTTTTATGCTGTACATGTGTTTCTGGAAAATGGCGCGTAACTCAAATTCACATAAAGGGCACCCACTTTACAACGTAACAAATAGGGATACGTTCCAAGATCTCGACTGTACTGACTCCCAGACCCATTTCTGCCACATTTTTACAAGACAGTGTTGGTACTCACCAACAGCAGACAGTACACACAAGCACAGGGCACTGTCATAATGGGGATGGCAACTACAGAAATGTGTCACAGACAAGCAAGGAGCACAGATCCACACAGATGGTGTGTGACACTTCTACAGTGCACCGCACAAAGCAGCTGACTGCGGGCTTCCACCACACCGATTTGCATAAGAGTGAATTTACCTCGCATATAATGAATTTTTGGTATAAAAAGGGTCATCGCATAAGTATAAATTTGCACATACAGAACCCGCATAAAATGAAGGAAACCTGTAGTTACTTAACTTAACCAGAAAACTGTCTGCACAGAATGGTACATTGGTATTTAGTGAATAAAGGGTTGGGGAGTTATGAAGATGATCACAGACTGATAAATGGGCCTTTAATAAAAGAAAAAGAAAGAAACATTACTAGTTTATTTAGCATAACTACCACATTTAATAACTTTTGCATTGATAGTATTCATTGTTCATAAAGAAAGGACCAAAAGATGTAAAGTTTTATAAACTGTCCTGTCTCATTAGTTTGGAACTCAAGCCATATCAGAAGATTGGTTTGAATTGGTTAGCACTACTCCACCAACATGGATTGAATGGCATTCTAGCTGATGAAATGGTAAGTCAAAAATGGAAAATTTTAAAATGTGTTGTTCATTGTCACCCTATCAGTTGCATAAGTGATTGGTACATGTCCTATCTCCATAAAAAGAAAAGAATGATTTATTGCTGATTCAATAAAACTTTGTCAGCAGAACATTAGTTAATGCTGTGAAACTTTTTTTTTTCAGATTCCTTTTGTTTTCATTTTTTTTTTTATGCCAGTTATTGTAGGGTTCAGGTGGTGATGTTACCGTGATGGCCCAAGAAATATGGGAGAGGCAAGAATTTTTGGGTGCGATACCTTTTTTTGGACTAACTGCATGGTTTGCATAGGCAAGTTTTCGGGAATCCCCGTACCCTTCCTCAAGCCTCTGAGAGAAAAAAGACACAGTGGAGCTAAATAACAGAACCAAAGCTTGTGTCAGAAATCCCATATGTAGATAAAAACAGGATGTAAGAGAGATTATTAGATAGCCAACAGTCAGGAGAGATGCAGTAAAAAACTAAGAACAAGATTGTTCAGGAGGGTCGTTATCACCTGTGAAGTGCAGAGGTTAGCCAGTGTCAGATAGCTTTTAATGGATCATGAAGTCATTGTCTTAAGTCCCTGGTACTTATTGTCCAATGGCTAATTAATTTCTGTTCACATTCTCATTTTGTAAAAATGTTGGATATATTTCCTTTGAGCACAGGATCGGTGAGGTCAGACAGTGATTTCTCTATCCCCCTGCCCACCCCCTCCTGAAGAAAGTTCTTCTACCTGTGCTCTGGTATCTCTATCCTTCTTTTTTTATGATGGTCATTCATGCTAGTACATAGCCTTTGTCTAGTTTCATTTACCCACATGGTTAGGAGGGCATTTGATGCACTGGATGCGGTGTACCACATTCTGGGAGAGCCATGTGTGATCCATGGGTTCCACTGGTCTTGCTTTTATTCTTAAAGTCCACTGCTGATGAATTAGCAACATGGAGGTGGTGCCTGGGAATATTTTTCTCAAGTTCTGGTCCTTTTCATGTATAGGCTGTAATGTGTTATCATTCTTACAGGTTCAAGTGTGGGATGGTAGGTGACAATGAAGGGTTAGTGGGTTTTTTCTCCTGCGTTGTACTAGGTTACTGTGGATGGGTGGCTCTTTCAAAGATACAATGTGTTTCTCTGCTGGAGTGTCCTTGCTGGATAAAGGTAGTTTTCAGCTTGGCAGGATGGCTTCATAGCCTTCAAAGGATTCACAAAACCCAATAAGCTAGGATTGCTGTAAGGGGACGATTCTTATCTCAACTTCTCTAGAAAATGTCTCGTGCTTGGAATCCTTCTTTTCTTTGACTAGCTCATAAACACTTTAATATACTTTGCAGTGGTGGGCATATTGAGAGTTGCTCTACTTTCTAAATAATAGTATGACTGACAAGGTTGCAGGTGTGGGAAGGCAAGTGGAGAGGCATAGATCTAAACATAAAATAAGAATAATCTAAATGGATAGTAATAAGAATAGTTAAAAAGGAGAATAATCTCTGATGTTGATTTAGGCTTAAAAGGAACAGGATTATAAAAATGATTTAAAGGTTATTTGTACTAAGGTGAGTCGAGGAGGATTTGAATTTTGTAAAGCATAGTTGATAAATCTTAAATTTGTTTTCATAACTCTTTCATCTGAAATATGTATAAGCACTTGATAGTAACAACTCATTCTACTTCTACCTTTTAAGATTTAAGATTAGTATTTTCCTACTCATCTTGTGATTGCATTAATTATATTTAAATTGTGTACACTTTCTCCTAGGGTTTAGGAAAGACGATTCAAGCTATTGCATTCCTGGCCTATCTCTACCAACAGGGTAATAAAGGTCCTCACTTGATTGTTGTGCCAGCTTCAACTTTAGGTAAGTTAAGGATTTCATGAGCAGGTATAAGAAGATAATCTAATTCACTTAGCTAAAGAATAAACCATCTAAGATTTACATAATAGAGCACAAGTTTGCATCTGAATTAAAATGTAATTGTTATAGTTATGTTCAGCTCTCCATCAATTCATGTTTGAATAATTTAACCTGCATGTATAATTCATGCTGTTTTTATTTCGAAGATGCACTTGCATTGAAATTACAGGTATTAAATAGCTTTTTACCTTTATATAGGTTATAAGAAGATTATTTCACAAAAATATAGCCACAGAGTTAGTACAGTGTTGGTGTTCATTCTATTCTGACTGACTTTTTAATTGGGAAAGTGTTTATCACAGCATTAGATTGATCTAATTCATGACGTACTGCTCTTGCTTAGAGCTCAATATTTTTTTTCCCCTAAAAATATCAGACACTTGTGGTGCAAAATCCGTTATAAACATTCTCGGACCCTGCAAATATGACGGGCGATGGGATATTTTCAGTTTTTCAAATCCTAAATCTGAAGTACCAAAGGTGTTCTAGGATAAAAGGTACATTGGTATAGCTATTGGAAGAGAAATTGTACTAATAACTAGTTCTAACCAGAGTTGCCAGTTTTTTTTGTTTTCATGTCTACTAAGTTGCTCAACTTTCTTCCATAATATGAAGAACCTAAAATTCCTTTAATCGCAATTTTTTTCTGGAAGTTCACAACTCTTGTTTTGTCCTACAGTCAAAACAGTTCCTAGCTGTTGCTTAATTAGGAGCATTTACACTTTCCAAGTTGTAAATGATCTTTTACTGTAGACTTTTTCTTGCTTTTCTAAATATTTTCAAACATTTTCTAAAACAAACTAAAAGTCATAGTTTTTAAAAGGATGCCTTTTCCTTTGCATCTAAAATATGTACAGTAAAAAGGGTTCATTTTTCACTTTAAAAAAAAGTGAGTTTTAAGGCTGGAGAAAGATGGCAGACTGACAGCCCTAGAGATTATTACAGTCTTTAGCCAAAGAAATGGCACATTATGGACAGTGAAAATTACCTATAGAGTTGTTTTGATTACATGCTTCAGTACTATCCGGAGAGGCTAGGGCAAATCGCTGCTTGTTGTGACAGAGTAATCGGTCTACATGCCTATTCCGTCCTTGGCCCTGGCTCTTATTCCAGCTAGAGAATGCCAGTTGTGATAATTGATGTTTAGCATCTCTCCTTTAAGAATGAGAGATCACCCCATGTATTGCATCCTTCCAAACGGGTATCTGTTTGACTTAATAAAATTGTCAGCTATCATGTATGATGGTTGACAATTTCACTCATCTTCTGATGGATTTGGTTATGAAATACTCCAGCACTTCTTTGCCAGTTCCCTGAGGCATACTGTTTCCCGATGAGGATTGTGTAAATAAAGGTCTCCAGGAAATAATCAACTTTGAAATGTCCATTAACTAAGAAAGTATTACTAAAAAGTTGAAACTTTTTTTAACTGAACACTATTTTAGCACAATCATTATCACAGTGATGATCAAAAGCAATTTGATGCCTCTAAATGATCTGTTTTTTAAACATAATGCTCCCTAACCCGTTTTTTTAGTGATTAACTGCTTTTGAAGCCACAAACTTGTATGCATGAGCAGTCAATGAACATAGAAAATCTTCTGAAAAAGTTGACCCTCACTTTGTCAGCTGTTTTTTGACTGCAGAATTTGTAAATTTGGGGATTTCAAGTAGTAAGAAAGTATTTTCAAACTCTTGCTTCAGTAGGATTTTATTTAGGTTTGCATTGTTAAGTGAATTGGCTAGTTAGTGCTAAAGAAATGTAGGATGTTCTTTCTGACTGTGTGGAAGAACCTAGTGCAGTATTTTAGATTGACAGTTTTCTAATGATCTCTGTATAGATAACTGGATAAGAGAAGTTAATCTGTGGTGTCCGGATCTTGGTGTCCTTTTTTATTATGGTAAGAATATTTTTAGTTTTCAGATTAAAGGCATAAAATTAATAATTAATTAATTTTTAAAATGTCATTATTTGGGCTGTGCGTTTTGCAGCATAATAAAACACAAATTACAGCAGAGCTTAACATGATTTAAATGCAGGTATTTCATTCACAGAAAACTTTTAAGTGTATTCCTTTTGTTCTTGTAGGATCCCAGGAAGATCGGAAACATCTCAGAATTGACATTAATAATAAAGCTGTAGACTTTAACGTGATTGTGACCACGTAAGTCTTGCAGTTAAAAGAATATGATTAAGTTAAAGTTGAATTCTACTGACCTCTAGTGGTGTTAGACAGCTTGATCATTCTTAGGAATGTAGAACTATTTAATTTTGAAAATTATTGAGTTAGGCCAACTTTTTATTTTGCTTGCAAGTGACCAGTTTCAAAGCTTATGCAGTCTTGTAGGGTTCCTTTTATGGTAGTGGAGTAAAATCCACTCTGGTCTGTTACTTTCATTGTAATATTGCTCAGCACACTTTGTTCAATATATTAGGAGCTGCGTTTAGACCTACATAAGGAGTCTGATCCCCACGTGTAACTCAAAAATAAAAAAAAAGGGAAGGAGTGCATAACATTGACCATTGTAGTGGTGGTGGCATTGTCATTTGGTAATACAGCACATTATCTTTTGACTGACAGCACAGGGAAGAAATGCATGAGGAAAATTTCTTAAAAGGGAGTTAGCTGACAGGGAGTTCAGTGAGTAAAGCTATGTATAGACACATACCTGGTGCTCTTGACCACTTTCCTATATATGTATGTATCTCTGTGTTCTGGGCTGCATCCTTTGATTCAAAACAAATGAAAATAAAAGGCCTACAGATTGTATTCCTCCTGAAATTTTGTTATAATCAATAGTATTTATTTTGTGTGATACAGTGCATCAGAACATTTATTAGAAAAAATATGTAAACTCACCAGATGGTTCTCTGAGTTGCCAGTAACAAGTTTATGCTGAAACAGAAAGGCAGCTTTACCTTAAAGCTGCCAAAACCACAGGGTCCCAAGCCCTTACACACCCTTCGGGCATTTGTGGAAACAGATACTAGAAACATGCCAAATGGAAATGGTGTAAAAAGTCAAAGCAAGTTTAACCCTTCCCCCTGTGCCTTATAGGGTAATAGTAATAGTAATAAATTCAACTATTGTAAAATTTAGGTAAGCGCACTGGTAATCCATCTCTAAGAGTGTACCTATAATCCTAACAAAAATCTATTTTGTGGACAGTAATTTGAAAGATGTTCATAACTTTGTTCTCTCAAAAACAACTTTTTCTAAACCTTGTTGAGCTCTCAGCAGAACATGCCAAGTTTTAAAATCACAAGTTTTGTCTCGAACAGTAGTCAACTATGACCTGTCTTTAAAAATAAGAGAGGAAGAAATAATGAACAAAGTAATCAGAATTCCTTGATGAGAGAAGTGTTTTCATCTTCACTGAATTCCAGTGTCAGTAGGGTTTTAGTCAGATTATTCCTGTGTATTATTTTTATAAAGTTTATTCTATACTTAAAGGTGTATATGAAGAATTTCAGCTTGCTTGTACATATGCTGCAACTGTTTGTCAACATCAGATTGTGGATGTTTTTAACAGTACTTTTTATTTGGGACATTTTTCAATATATTTGAATGGCTGTCATGTTTTTGGAGCTTGTAGTTAGTTAGGCTTCTGTTAATACAGGGTAAACCACAATGTTAACATTATATGATTTGTTCTTCTGATAGGTATAATTGTGCAATTAGCAGTTCAGATGACCGAAGTCTATTTCGTCGGTTGAAACTTAACTATGCAATCTTCGATGAAGGCCACATGTTAAAGAACATGGGTTCTGTACGTTACCAGCACCTTATGACAATTAATGTAAGTTAGGTTTTAAAATACTATTCCTTCCCACCTCCCCATGTTCCTTTGTTGTAGCCCAAACTGTCTTCATACACACTAAGTAATAAACTTATAGAAAGACATTCCATGAAATAAAGGAACAAAACTAGGTATAAATGCATGCCAGAATGGGGCTACAACTGCTTTCTACTTTGGGAGCTTCAAATAGAGACTCACTTAATAGTAAATACAAAGCATCTTCTTACTGCTGTATCCCAAATGTCCTTAAATTTTAGAATATTAAACAGGTTCCCCCCCACCTACCCCCAGCTATTGTTCTCATATATAAATTACCAAAGCTGTAGCTAGAGAAGAGATTCTGGCAAAATAGAACAGTGTGGGGGAGAGAGAGACGTTAAGGATGTTAATGAGCTGTTTGAAAGAAGGTCATAGTCCGAAGTAGGTGTTGGAACAAAATAAATGAGCTTTCAAACATTATCTTTCAATGAATATTGCTTTTGAGAGAACGTATAGTTCTGGTTTAGTTCTTGTACAGAGCCTGCTATAGTACAGGTTTCCCTTGATTTATGCAGTACATGTATTCCTGGAAAACAGTGCATAACTGTTCCCCCTCGCATAGAGGGAACCCACTTTACAATGTAACAAATAGAGATACATTCCAAGACCTCGACTGTACTGACCCCCAGGCCCATTTCTATCACTTTACAAGACAGTTTTGGTACTCACTAGCAGCAGACAGTGCACACAACAAGCACAGGGTGGTGGTGAATGTTGCCATAATGGGGATGGCAACTACAGAAACACGTGTTGCTGACAACAAGTGAGGAACTCTAATCCACACAGGAGACTATATATTTTGGTACACATCACTCCCACAGTGCACCGCACAAAGCAGCTGCCTGTGGGCTTCCACCAAACCGATCGCATAAGAGCGAATTTACCTTGCATATAACAAATTTTGGGTATAAAAAGGATCATTGCATAAGAGTGAATTTGCACATACTGAACCTGTATAAAGCGAGGAAAACCTGTACTTTGCCATCTACATATTCAGCTTGATAGAGAAGTATCTGAATTCAAGTAGACAAGAATTTTGTTGAAGTAGGCAAATCTTGTTGCAGATGCAAATGTAGACTACAAGTAAACTCTTATTCCAAATTCATTTTGCAGTTATGGAGAGAACCAAACAGTTGAATAGCAAAAACTTCTATGTCCTGTCAGTATGGTCTAGACTAGATCTGTGGTTTCCAGGAAACAAAGTTTGACCTGAACACAGGAAAAGAGTTTTGAAGTCACCAAATGCCTAACTCCATTCAGAAATACTGTATCTACTCGATTTCCAAACGGAAGGGGTTTTTTTCCCCCCTATTTAACATTGGGGAACATGAGATGGTGGGGGGAGAGCCCCTCATCTTGGAATCAAGTATGAGATGGCAGGGGAAAAGGCAGCTGCTGCTGCGGCTCCAGCTGAGACCTTGAGGCTGGAAACACAGCTGCTGGCTAACCTCTCAATGTCTCTCCACCCCGTGTCTCCTTCCTTCCCATCATAGCCTTGGGACCCTTGCTTCCCACTACCCCCGCAACCTCTCTCCCCTTTGCTTGTTACCTCTCCCCACTGAACTCTTGCCCCATTCCCCAGTGCTTACCCTTGCTTCCACACTGGCAAGCTCCATCCCTACTCCAGCTGCAAGCTCCATCCCTACTCCCATTGCAGCAGATGTTTAACGTATTATAAAAGTTTGAGAGAGAAAAATGAAAATAAATACATTTTCTTGTGTAGTTTCTTTGCATAAATTGTGCTTCTGAAGTTGGATATATTGATTTCTTCACTGTTAATTTTAATTTGATTTTAATGACTAGTGATTTTATTTTGTTTTTTTCTGTGGTGGATGAAATAGGCAATGAATCGTCTGCTACTAACAGGAACTCCAGTTCAAAATAATCTATTGGAATTAATGTCTCTCTTGAATTTTGTTATGCCACATATGTTCAGTAGCAGCACAAGTGAAATCCGGAGGATGTTCTCTTCAAAAACAGTAAGTACAGTGATAGGCTTACAGTAAAAACATTTTTGCAATAGAATTTTTCTTGTTTAATTTTTATGGAAACTACTGTAGTCACAAAAATATTCATATTCACATAAAAGCAAACATGATATAACAATTGGAATACAGACATATTGTAATAGGATGTCCTGGAACTTTATAGCTTTCACTTATCCCAAAAAGGGCATATTTTCTCTTGAGTGATTGTCTCCTAAAGTTAGAGCTCCTTAACCACAATTACTAGATTAAAGAATTTCTATAAAAACAAACTGACTTTTTTTGCATTATTTTTCTTAGAAAACTGCAGAAGAACAAAGTATATATGAAAAGGAGAGGATTGCACATGCAAAGCAGATAATAAAACCATTTATCTTGAGAAGAGTAAAAGATGAAGTAAGCATGCACTTTAGCTATAATAACACATACAAAATTATTTTCATGCAAGAAGTTGAGAATATTTTTGAAGGCTCTCAGGTTACAGCAGAAATTAGTTTTAAGTAACTTTACAACAATGTGAGACTTTTTATGAGGGGTGGAAGGACCTTCTGGAACACCTGCATAACATTTTCTAGGATCTCTCTTCCCACTACATTACTCTATAACCAGTCAGTCCACTTTTACTGTTTGACTAGAAGTCTGTGACTTTCTCCCCCACTTCCTACCCACCTCTGTAAGGCATCAGTTACTTCTCTCAGGTCTTCTCCCACTCTTCTTATGCACAGGTTGCTGCCACCACTAATTTCTGTGCTTTGGCTTCCCTTACTTTCTGCTTTTGATTACAGCACTGTGAATTATCCATCTGGTGTGAATGGCCTCCCTGAGAATTGGCGGCTGCTACTTAGCAGAAAAGTAAATGGGTAGCTGTACTTATCACACATTTCTGTTATGCTTTTTCCCAAAAATGTAAGACAATGTGCTACATATATAATGTAGCCACAAACGTGGATTTAAAATATCTACATCCTCAAGGTATCATTCAATTTTTAAAAAGCTAAAGACTATTTGAACGCTTGTCTGTTGCATGTGAAATTCACTTCACTGTCCCCTTCTACTTAGGAGAAGGGGTGGGCAAAGTCCAGCCCGCAGGCTGGATCCACCAGCAATGGATTCCATTTCGCAGCAGCCCCTGCCCACATGGCTGGGGCCAATCTCCATGGAAACCCCAAACGCAGCTAGGCTGTGATAGCATAAGGCTGGGGTTGCCATAGAAACTGACCCCAGCCAGTCCAGAGTATGCAGTCTGTGGATTGTGGCTCTGCCCTGGTCCTGGCCAAGCTGCCCCCACTGCAAGATCCCAGTGGCTCTGGAGGACCCCCCTGCCCTGCCCTGTACCCTGCCAGCGTGTCTGGGGCCAGTCTCCATGGCAACCCCAAGCTTGCTATCAAAGCGCAACTGGGATTTCCATGGAGACTGCCCCAGCCATGCACGTAGGGGCTGCTGGGAAATGGAGTCCGGCTGCTGGCCAGATCTGGCATGTTGCCCACCCCTGACTTGGAGGTTTCCCTGCATGTATAAACAGGATAATTTCAATCCTGTTGGCATTCTAACCTATAGAAATTAGATCTATTAGCTTATTTTCTTTCTTTCTATAACTTTGATGATACTTCCATACTACTTGGTGTCATTGGTTACAGTTAATAAGTAAGCCATATGTAGAAATTTGTCTTAGAAGTAGCAAAGTGGTTTCCAAGTAGTCCATATGTTTCTTTTTAACTTTGAAGTCCTCAGACAGTTTTACTGAACTGAATTACTGAAACCTTAGCCAAAACCACTTGTGCTGTTATTATTGGAAAGACTTGTTTACTTTTATTGGGCTCTGTATCAGGCCCCAAGTAGTTGAACAAAATTGTTGGAGCTCACCCTGTGAGTAATACAGTATATTAGACCTCTAATTAATAATAACTTTTACTCAGTGTAACTGTTTGTATCTTATCAGGTTCTTAAACAGCTGCCTCCCAAAAGAGATCTTATTGAGTTGTGTGCAATGTCAGAGAAACAAGAACAGCTCTACTATGACCTCTTGAACAAGATAAAGAAATCTATTGACAGCGAGGGTATGTGAAGGCCTGTTTGTTTTTGTTTCTCTTTTTTTACTAGGTATGTTGCAGTTGTGCCAAATATTACTTGTACATTTATTTTAAAATAATGTCCAAATTAGTTTTGATACAATTTTTCAGGTTCAAGTAGTAATTAGCAGATGAAATGCTGAAATCTGATTGGCATTTCATTAAATCTAAAAATTAATACACATGCATCGTGCTGCATTTCAGTATATTCCTGTTTTTGGTCACAGAGAAGAATTCGGACACAGGCAATGTCATGATGCAACTGAGAAAAATGGCTAACCATCCTCTCTTACATCGTCAATACTACACAGATGATAAACTTAGGATTATGTCAACTCTTATGCTCAAGGTAAGATACTACAATTCACGCGTGTGCTGTGGCTCCTTGAATAAGAAAGTTTTAATTTCTTGATTGAAGAAAATACGTACTTGAATAAACTTTTTTTCCTGGTTGTCAGTAACTAGCGTTCTAATTGTATGGTAAGTATTTTTAAATAAAACTTTGAAATAACCCATGAGAGCAGCCTTTCTTGGAAAGAAATGCTTCTAGCTCCTTTTTGTTCATCCTCTTCAAGTTTTTTTTTCTAGTTGAGTGTTTTCCTCAGATGTCTAGAAAGCAGTTGAGTCTGCTACCATATTTCTTGAGGGACTAAAGAGTCTAGTAGACGCTGGGAAAGTCAAGCAGGGAAGACATAAATAGCTGAATTATTCAAAGCCAAGTTCAGGGAAAAAAAGTATCGTGAAATGTTATGGTTAAGTATCAGATTTTTTAAAGCAAAAAATAAAATACAGAACTATTATGGAAACAGTATGCATTTTAATAAAAAATACAACTACAACCAGGGTTCAATGCCCACTCCTTTATGAACCTCCTATGCAAGGAGCCTAACAAGTGTGGGACAGGAGACTGATGAGAGTGTGAAAAATCCATACCTAGTAATAAAAGAGATAAGGTTTTCTTTTCTTCCTGTCTGAGTATGACAGTCCTCTGCCCACACTACATCCTATGATGGGTGTTCCCAGTTTCCTACCATCTGCCCAAGAATCAAAGTCCTTATTAAGAAATATCATCAGGGAAAGCGGTCCGATATGGGAGTAAAAGGTACCAAGGCTTGATGGTGAGTGGCTGGTAGCTGTTGTGGTAAAATGACTCTTGGTAGTTCTTCGTAGTTGAAGATTCTCTAGATCCTAAAACCACAGTAGGCACTGATGTTCTGATACAGAAGTCAGAATATCTCCCATAAACAGAAGTTGTACTGATGAGCTGCCTGCTTAAACAAAGCCGTAGAATTCACAGCATTTGTTCTCTGAAGAAATTTTTGGATACGGTGTATCTTCATGTTCTTGCTATGTATTGAGATGGGTGGAATATACCTTCAGTGTGTAATACATTTTAGATTTGGGGTTTCATCTTTTTAGGAACCCACACATTGTGATGCTAATCCTGACCTCATCTTTGAAGATATGACCGTGATGACAGATTTTGAGCTTCATTTGCTTTGTAAACAATATGCCAATGTCAGTGACTTCAAGCTAGAGATGGACCAGATTTTGGATTCTGGAAAATTTAGAACTCTAGAACATATTCTCTCTGATCTTAAAGAAAAGGTTTGTAGTAAAAGAATATTATGGCTTGATTGTATTGCCTTATTCACAGCTTTGCTTACCAGCTGACACATTGAATTCCTATTAAGCAGCAGCATCTACCATCTAAGTATTTTGTTACTGTATGAGATATTACAGTCCAACTTGTCACAAAATCATATTTTATTTCTATAATAGTACCAGTATGTATATTGCATGTGTAATGCTGGATAGGCGAGAGTAGTATGTATTCCAATGACTGGATGTTTAGATTTGCTAGGCATTCACTGATAGCAGTAAAAACTAAATGCCTTGTTGCCTTTATCACTGTGGTAGTAGATGATACTAAATCCTACAGTGCATCTTAAGCCATGCTAATATTCAGTTTAAAATTCACAAGAAATTTTATAAATACTTATAGAATATTTATCTTTGATCAACAGTTTAGCTCAGGGGTTGGCAACCTACAGTCCACAGGCTGAATCTAGCCTGCAGAGGGATTGGATCTGGCCCGCTAAGGTCCAAGCTGGTCCACATTTTACTAAAGGTACAACAGATTTCCCCAGCTGGTTGATCCGGTCTGTGCTTTGCCACTTGCCTCTATCTGCTTCAGCCAGCTGCCTACAGTCTATGTGGAAGGCTGCTCTTCCTCCATACAGCATCTGTTCACTGTTGCTGAAGGGCCAGAAAGGAATGGTGGCCTGTGGCACCGGCTGGGTCTAGGTTGCAAGGTGCCAGGGTTGTATTGGCAGAAGGCAGCTGACCCCTGCTTTAGCTGCTTAGTAAAAGGGCAACAATATTAATTTTTTTACACAATTCATAAACTTAGCAGTAACTCCTCTACAAGTGAGGTGAAACAAATATGTTAGGATACCCACTGATGTGCTAGGCAACATATAGAAAACCTACAGAAAACACATCCCTAATGTGAAATACATGTCTAAAATCAAGTGCTTGACTAATCAAAATGTAACATGCATTAATAATTGTCAAGGAAGATCATAGGTTGGAAAGTCAAGATTAAGGTATTGACTCAGGTTAGACACAGGCACATTTGTCTCACAGCAGTTACAGCAGGCTCTCATCCACATGGAATGGAGAATGAGTTCAAAATCAGTCTATTTTACTAAAAGCATTGTTTTTGTTTTTTCTGTTTGCATATGAAATTAACATCTCTTGCTTTTTTATGCATTTAAAGGCTGAAACACAGGTAGATTGTAGTAATTTAGATTTTCAGTGCCTGAAATTAGTTAATCTAAACCTTATCTAAAAATTTAGACAGAAATGAGTGATCATTTTTGTGTTAATGAATGTTAATGTCTTGTCTAACTGGCTTGGGTTTGTTTGTTTTTATTCCAGGGTGATAGAGTTGTTTTGTTCAGCCAGTTTACTATGATGCTAGACATCTTAGAAGTTCTTCTGAAACAGCAGCAGCATAGATATATTAGGCTGGATGGAAAAACACAGATTTCTGAAAGGTAGGTAAAATCTATACTTGCAGAAAAGGAAAGAGAATACAAATATACATGCTTCCTATAAACATTTTCCCTACAATTATTTAGAGTTGAAGTCCCCTTTTAAGTCTATTGTATGAGGTTCTTGGAGATTGAAAGTTTGGGTCAATGGGTATATAGCTGATATCAACGTACAGTTTTCTGCAGTACCAAGGCTGAAATTTGAAATCACCAGTGTTTAAAATGGCCCCACGCTGCTTATGACACATGCACACAAGTGTACGTGTGTGCACACGTGTGCACACACACACTCACACTTAGTGTGCAAAATTCTGTATTCCTAGCTAGGACTTTGCAGCTATTTTTTTGGTGTGTCCCTGGAAAAAAAAGGCGTGTGATGCCAGATGGGAGGTTATTTTTAGGAAAATCAGCAGAGTGTCTTAACCTCAGATCTTGTTCCCCGAAAGCACTGCTGATGCTTCCAAACCAGCTTAATACTTCAGGAGCTAAAATGTCTTTCGGCTCTGAGACCCTGTGTGTGTGTGTGTTTTCTTCTTCCCCTGCCCCTACCTCCACCTTGAGAAACCCTGCAAGTTCTCTTGGCTCCAGCCCGTGTCTGCTGTCCAAGGTTGGTAGGAACACAGGACTCCAGATGAGGCTTTGGGTACCAATCACTTTGCATGGATATCAACAGAAAAGACTTAGAAAATTGTCATGCCTCCAATTGCCTATGTCTGTTTTGTTGAACATTGAATTTTTTGAAAACTGTGGAGTAGAGTTCCCTCACTTGGGTAATCTGTACTTACTTTAGTGATTAACTTAGCTCCTTTGATAATAGCAGAATTGCTACTGTATTTCAGAATATTCTGAACATTGTCCTGGTTAAAAACCTTTATCAGTTAAGACTTCTGCACTGGTACTGTTGGCATCAGTATCCCTTCTTACTGCTTGTAAGGTTTGACCATCAGTTTAGAATGAGTCCCCTTTGCTCATTGTCTCTTTTATTGGTAATATTGAAAATCTTAGCCAATAATGGAGGTACAAAAAAATGAAAATCCCCTTATATTTAGTACTCTGGTAATGTTACCTACTTTGCTTTAGTTCTGCAGTCCTTTCCCTCACCCTTGCTTTGGAAAGCTTTTCTTCGTCTGCATATTAAGCTTCTGTTGATAGATACCCGAGGCCCTTCTGTGGATTCCCCTGGACTGACTCTTGAGGCACACCAGGGAAGGACCCTATCTTGTTATAGAGCCTGCTTTCCAAATAGGTGTTTCCCACCTATTTTGACACCTATATGCCCTTTTTATGTGCAGTGCAATGTTGGCCCTATTGGCTGCATGAAATGCCTTATTACTAGGCTTGGCAGAATTTAATTTTTATTTTTTAATAAACTTGATGGATAAAAAGTTCATTTTTAAACATTTCTTTTTATTTTTATTGTTTGTTTGTTTTTTTAAATTAAATTGACATAAGGATCTTCTGGATAGCAAAAAAAAAAAAGCAATTAAAAGGCCAAGAAAACACAAACTTGTATCCTTTCTCACTGGAGTCTTTTTTTTTTCCCCACATACCAGTCTCACCAGTAGGCTGCTTAGCCTCTTATTACAGTCTCTCTTGGTTTCTCTGCAGTTGAGTTGTCCCACTCAGGCATCAGGCACTCCCCTGCCTCTGCTTTGCATGCCTTCTTCCATAGCTGCTGGTTCCAATCTGTCTTAAATATTCTTTCCCCCTCCCATTTCCCCCCCTTTGGTAGGGGTTTACCTAGCCTGTTGTCTCCCTCCAGCCCACTTCCAGGCACCTGTGAAGGAGCAGCTAATTGCTTAATTGACATGGGCTGCCTGCTGTTTTCCTCCTTAAAAGAGACCTGCCCTCTATACTCTCATCTGCAACTCTTTTCTGTTCTTCCCTTCTCTTCAGTTATTAACGATGGAAATATTTTTTTTTCTTTTGGTCTGTGAGTATGAGCTGAAATTAATGTTTATTGATGTTTAAAGATTAAAAAATTGAATCCTGCCAAGCCTACTTATTATTAATGCCTTTATCTGTTTAGTCTAGGTAGTCAAACCTTCTTAATAGATTCCTTCAAAGGGAGGCAAACTATCACATTAAGATGCCCTTAAAGTCTGTCAACAGAATAACACTGCAGGGAGGAGCATCTTCTTGAAAAGGAAGAGGGTCAGCATGTTCCTCTAGCCTTATCTTATCGTTGTCCTCTACAGTAATCATTTTAAAGCCTTTTGGGATCTCCTGTCATTTCTTTAAGGTTGTCTGAAAGTTCCCCTGATGGCTCAAGCAAGCAAGCAAAACAATCCTGTAGATTTTTTTGATATCCTTTGATGCAAGGCTCTGAATCACCTGCCCATATGCCTATCAATGATGTTGATCTTGAACTTGCATGCAGCTTGTAGCAAAATCTGTTATCTCCTAGAATTTCAAAATAAATAGACTGCAGGTACGTAGTCAAGTGAAGGGTTTGAGTTCTTTATTCGCTTGGTCTGTACTTCTGTGGTTGTCATGTTGGCCCATAAAAACAGCAAATGTCTGGCCATGCTAGGTCTTTGTCCAGAGGCAAGAAACCCAAGAAGATTAACCTTATTTTATTGAAGATTTAATTCTCAGACATTAGCAAAGATTTACATGCAAAAGATTCTCGGAATATGTTGCGTCTTCTTTGATGGACAGATTTATGAAGTCTGCCATGGAAATCTTTTTCAAGGAGTGGTTAGGCTCAGGTGATGGAACCCAAATTAGGTTGGGATATACATCTCTACTCTCTGTGGAAGGCTTGTGAGCCCAAGCAGAGTCCCAATAACACACACACATTCTAGAGCTTTGGGCTGTTCACCTAGCTTTTTGTCCCCAACAGATAATGCAATAATCATGCAGTAAAAAAATGCAGGGAGCAAGATCACTCGTGTATCACTTCCAGGATGGTCTGTTTCGTATCACTTAGCAACTCTCTGTGCACTGTGTTCTGAGAACAGTTGTTTCTGCTGATGTGAAAGCGCTCTTTCACACATGAATGAGAAGTGACTTGATACTAGTGCACGTATTCTAGAAATGGAGAAGTTACTTTGTGCACCTTTTTGCTACTAGTCTTGAATAGGAAGGAACCTAGTGTTCTGCTCAGGAAACAAAAATGTCCCAGGTCTTTCACAGATTAATTTGATTCAGTTTAGGAAGGAATAGTCTGTCTTCACCTTACCCTTCTCACTTTTAGGTCCCTGGAGAAGGCCCAAATGGTAATAACTCCAGCTTAAATATGTCACTAGTATTCTGATCTGATGCTCCTCACAAGCAGACCGCCACATATTTAACTTTCAAATCATCCAAACACTTCTTGTGTGGGGTCTGGGATTTCAGCTGGATCTGTGTCAACATAAAGGTTATCTGGCTAAGCCCTGTTGGGAAGAGCTAGAAAAGTGTCCTTCGATTAGAGCATAAGGTTTCTAAATAGGAAAATGTAGGGACACTAAATGAAGATATTTCTGCTTGTAATCGGCCTTTAAATTCTTTAGTTTCAGATATGTTGGATTATGTTATTGTCTTTTGAAGTCCTCTGAACTAGTTCACTTGGCTGCTCTGCATCAGCATACTGTTTACTCACAGAAGGTGTCTTTGGTTTTCAGGTGCCCCCCCCCCCTTCCCCCTTCTTAAATCTAATATTAAGGAACATAGTTCATACATTTCCACCACGTAGAACTGCTCACTACCTGGAACTTTGAACAAACATTGAAGTGTCACTGTATAGGGTGTGAAATACTTTGAGACTTGACTTTCCATGTAGTATGTATTTAAGGGTATAATTATGCTCAGTTCTTATGTCTGAAATTAACCAAAAGTGTCTTTGGAATTCCACACAAACCAATGTTTATGCAGTGTATCTTTTCTTCTTTAACTGTCATGACGCTCTCCTGAGGCTGAATGCCACATAATGGATGTTTTTAGAGCTATGTCGTACCTATCTGGGACATAAGTCACATAGTAATTTAATGTATCAGTTAAGACTAAGTCAAAGGGGCAACTCCCTAAATAGGTGACAGGAAACATTAAAGCAGCCCGTTCCTTAAATTATCCTTTCCTGTTCCATTAGGGTTGTATCAGTATCTGTAGTTTGTTGTAGGGGAACGTATATTTCCGAAACCTCTAGGGCAGCTATTTGCAATTGATATGATCAAACTCCAATTATTTCTTTCTGACAGATTCTAGATCAGAGGACTAGTTTCACAGACCTGGCTCCAGTTATTACTTAAATAATACTCCTATTTCCCTTCTCCTTGAGGCAACTGCTAGTCAGGTCAGTAGATTGTATATGAAGCAGGAGCTACAATTCTATACTCAGACTTCATAGATTTCATAGATTTTTAGGGTCGGAAGGGACCTGGTTAGACACCTTGCTCCAGGCAGGAAAGAGCTCTGGGGTTAACTAACCACAGCCAGATCCCTGTCTAATCTCTTCTTAAACACCTCCAAAGTAGGATAAAGCACCACCTTCCTTGGAAGCCTACTTGTATGATAATGGATGCTAAAAGATTTCCCTCTCTCATGTATGAGATACATACCTGCAGTGGGAACTGTATGGGCATGAGCATCTCAAATTCCAGCACCAGTAAGGGTGGTTAGCTCCTGTTTACATCATCATCTCTGTCTTCATTTAGACAGTTCAACATATAAGACTGGATCCTGGGGTGGGATTTAATGGATAGCTTGGTAAATTTTAGTAATGTGTACAGCAAAAGCTCCATTATCCGGCACCCATGGGAAATGGGGGGTGCTGGATAACCAAACGTGCTGGTTATCTGAGAGGCATCTTTGCCTGGTTGGGCAAAGACATCCCTTCTGGCACGTCTACATCTCACATTAACTGTGCCACCACTCCCCTAGTGTCGGTGTGTTGGGGAAAAGGGAGGGGGCTCCGCACAGGCTGCTGTACCCTGCTCAGACTGCTTTCCACCGGGCTGTGGGATTCGACAAAATCTGAAGTCCCACCTCCGGTTTCCCTTTTGCTGTGTTGACCGGCGTCAACCGGCATGCCGGTTAATGAAGTGTTGGTTGATGCAGCTTTTACTGTATTATCTTGGATCTGTATTACTAATTTTAATATAGACTATTAAACTAGAAAACATTTTACACAGGCTAGAAAATGAACTTCGAAGACTAAAATTATATAATTTGAGCCAGCACCGGTTTGTTGCGGGTAGGTCGTGTGTGACCAATCTTATTTCCTTTTACAACCAGGTGACCTATCACCTGGACAAGGGGGAAGAGATTGATGTCATACATCTTGACTTCAAAAAAGCCTTCAATCTAGTATCCCATGATCACCTCCTGGCAAAACTGGCCAACTGCAACATTGGGTCCACCATGATCCACTGGCTGGGGAATTGGCTCCATGGTCGGACCCAGAAGGTGGTGGTTGACGGAAGTAAATCGTCATGGTGCCTTGTGACCAGTGGGGTACCTGAAGGCTTTGTCCTTGGACCTCTTTTGTTCAACCTCTTCATTAACGATGTGGACATTGGAGTCAGAAGCGGACTGGCCACGTTTGCCGATGATACCAAACTTTGGGGTAAAGCATCCACACCTGAGGACAGGGGGGGCAATCCAGGCTGACCTTGACAGGCTCAGGAAATGGGTGGATGAGAACCTGATGGTGTTTAACACCGAAAAATGCAAGGTTCTCCACCTTGGGAGGAAAAAACCCGCATCATGTCTATAGGTTCGGTAGTGCCAAGCATGGCTAGTACTATGGCCAAGAGGGACTTGGGTGTCAGGATTGACCACAAGATGAACATGAGCCTTCAATGTGATGCTGCGGCTAGTAAAGCGAGCAAAACATTGGCTTGCATCCCTAAATGCTTCTCAAGAAAATCTTAGGACGTCATTCTCCCGTTGTACTCGGCCTTGGTGAGGCTGCAGCTGGAGTACTGCGTCCAGTTTTGGGCTCCACAATTCAAAAAGGATGTGGAGAAGCTTGAGAGAGTCCAGAGAAAAGCCATGCACATGATCAGAGGTCAGGAAAACAGACCTTATGACGAGAGGCTGAGAACTATGGGACTCTTCAGCTTGGAAAAGCGCAGGCTCAGGGGCAATCTGGTAGCCACCTATAAGTTTGTAAGGGGTGTTCACCAGGATCTGGGGGTACGTTTGTTCACCAGGGTGCCCCAAGGGATGACGAGGTTGAACAGTTATAAACTACTGCAAGACAGTTTCAGACCTGGACATAAGGAAGAACTTCTTTACTGTCCGAGTCTCTAAGGTCTGGAATAGCCTGCCGCCAGAGGTGGTTCAAGCACCTACTTTGAACACCTTCAAGAGAAACCTGGATGTTTTTCTTGCTGGGATCCTATGATCCCTGCTGACTTCCTGCCCCTGGGGGAGGGGGCTGGACTCGATGATCTTCCGAAGTCCCTTCCAGCCCTAATGTCTATGAAATCTATGAATTATGTGCAAATTGCATAAATTTAGTCCATTAATAACAAAATCTGTTATCAATTGTACTTTTAATTATTTCAAATGCACTTGAAATAATAATATGAGTGACCTAGTGGAAGTGCTTATTGACAGCACTGATATCAATATTACTGTTTAATCTAGTCATGTCTCACTTATGGAAGGATTTTATTATTATTTTGAAATAAACTGAAGTATTTTGTTTTCTTGTTCTTAAAAAGGACATCAACCTTTTAATTAAGTATTGAGTATCATCTCTTGGGTTTCTTGCTATCAGTTAAAATCCTTTTTCATCCTATCTAAAATTTCTCCACTCTTATCTCTATGGTCTCTTTGATAAAATACCCATTCGTTCTGTTGACAGACATATGAATCTGGGGTTTGTTTTCACTTCTCCCTTCATGTCAGGCTATAAATGCTTCCTGTTACCTTCCTCCATGACATTGATACAGCTTGCTTTCTCTCTGTCCATACAAATAAGATTCTTGGTAATCAAACAAAGATGGTAATCATTTCTTGTCTTGGCTGCTGCAGTCACTTCCACTCTTGTCCTCCTGATACTTGCACTTCATACAAAATGCAGCCACCTGCCCCTGTCCTGCCACTCTCTCCAGTATGATGCATTTTGGTTTCTTATTTCTACCTGTTAGACCCTCCTCAGTTCTGTCCCTCTTCCCTGTCTGCCATCATGGCTACAAACATCATTCTCTTCCCTTTCCTGTTGATGCCAAGCAAGGCCCTCATTTGCTTCTTTCACAGTCTTTTCCATGCGCTCTACGGTACCATCTTTTGTACGTAGAATGTCTTTTCAGAGTTTTCAAGGTGACTATCCTGTCCTCATTCAAGACTTTCTTCTTTGCACCCTCTTGAGCCAACTAGTAAGAGCTCATGTCAGAGATGGAGAGGTACTTTAGTCGATACCATGCATCTGTGCATGTGTGTTAAACACCAGACAAAACAGAAAAGTGTGGGGGGGGGGAGTGAAAAGTTGTCAGTCTCTCCCCTAACTGCATCACTTCAAGTCAGATTTTTCTTTGTCTGGAAAATAGCAATATTTTTTTTTTTTCACAAGACTTGATAGTTAAATTATCTAATTTTACAGGATACATCTAATAGATGAGTTCAATACGGATATGGGTATATTTGTTTTCCTGCTCTCGACCAAAGCTGGTGGCCTTGGAATAAATTTGACCTCAGCAAATGTTGTCATTCTTCACGACATTGACTGCAACCCTTACAATGACAAGCAAGCAGAGGATCGATGTCACAGAGTAGGTCAGACCAGGTAATGTTGGACTTACTATTATTCTGTTAAAAGCAAGCTGCTGGTATTGGATACCGTACAAGGTATTACCTGAAAACCAAGGTTTTGAATCTTCAAGGCATTTTCACATATCAAATCTTAGTTGGACCATTCAGTATTTTAAATGTAGCACATATCCCTAGCAAAGCTGAAGTCATGCTTCTGTTCTGCTGTTTAGAATTTTCTCATTACTTTTGGTTTACAACATGGTATATTTAGTACCTTGTTTTGTTTTGGACCAGATGTGATCAGGTTAAGCTATGCTGGAGTGTGGTTGGAGGAGGGGGAGAGACTTTTCCCATGTATATTCTAATCAGAAATGTTCATTCTTGAACACGAACCCTTCAAACATAAATTACATATCCTGCCAACACCATTTTGTCCTTTTACAGTTCTTAAAAGTGTCATTGTGCGCTGTCAACTTTATTCTCTTGTGATTTTAGAGAAGTACAAGTCATAAAGCTAATCAGTAAAGGGACTATAGAGGAATCCATGCTCAAAATCAGTCAGCAGAAATTGAAGTTAGAACAGGATATGACTGCAGCAGATTTGGGTGAGTTTTTCTTGAGCATAATAGTACATTTCATACTTCACACTTGTTCTGTGATCTGTTTCACCTTCTTATAGCAATAGTTTACTCTGACTAGTTAGTCCTTGATTCAGATTTCTTCCACTTCCCAGCCTAGCTTCCTCTTGAATTTCTGCAGTGCACTTTTATAAAATAGAAACCAGTATAAAAATTCCAAAAGCCTTATTGTGCAGGTTATATTTAGAGTCAGTTTTCCCACTCCCCTCACCTCCCTCCTTTTTCCCCAGTTTTACTTGACGTTACTGCAGAATTCAGTACTGGATAACTAAAGAATAGAAGTTGAGCTTTAAAAATTAGCTTGCTTCAGAGTATGTTGCAATGGGGGTGATAAAAATAACAATAATAATTGTATGAGAAAAATGCGCCTAATGTTCTGAATGGTAGAAGAGCTATAGTGAGATCCACTCAAGGGAGAGTAGCGTGATTTACCCTTAACTGCATGGATGAATGTAGCTGTTTTGTGTGAAATGTTTTAATGCATTACTAATACTTTCTTTTTACTCTGCAGGAGAAGGGAACATTCCAGCAGATATAGCCACTTTATTAAAAGCTTCACTAGGTCTCTAAAATGTAAATAAATTGTAGATCTTATTTAGGTGAAAAAAAGCTATGATACACATCCAAGAACTTTTACATTACTGATGACATGAGTTTTATGGACATTTTTAACTTTTTTGTAATTTCTTTATTGTATTTCTCATGGTATTGAGGATTTTTAAGTGATAGAATTCTCCAGATGCTTGACAACAAAAAATATGTAAATGCCATAAGTTGTAGTGCATAAAATGCGATTAATTCTTATTTGAAAAAAGTTTTCAAAATGGGGACCCTAGTTAGTGACCATTTTAACAGATCAGCTAATGTTTAAGATTGTCAGTATTTTTGTAATTATTTCTACCTCCAAATATATATAACTGTCTGTTTCACTGGATTGTGTGTGTAGATTTTTTTACATGTGCCTTATTTGACAATGTTCATGTTGGTTTCTGCTTGTTTTATTGGATGTACTGTACTGTACTGTTTTTGTATCAACTTGTTCAAATAAAATTGCATAGATTAACAATGGATTTTTTGGTTTGTTCAGTTTTTCTATTGAGAACAAAATCAAAAGTACAAAGCAGCAGTTATCATTTAGTAAGTCTTTTAATTGCAAGTCATTTTTCCAAAAAATGATTAATGCTAGTGTTTCTTTTTTACTATGTTGGAAGCATTAATAGTTTCTTGCCCTATAGAACATTATTGAAGATCTAGTCCTACAAAGACATTTTTCATCTTGAAGTATTTCCATGTTTGTAAATAAAGTTTGGAGGGAATCTGAACTCAGGTCTCCATCCTACCAACTTGGAGAAGTCCTGCTTTAGGTGCTGAAGTAAGAAGGCACCTATGCTGTATCTGAAGAGAGGGCTTTTGATCTTATGGTTTAATAAAAATTGAGCTTCTTGTTCCTAAGGAGAAATGCTGTGTGTGAACTCGGGAGCATTTTCCCTTCCTGTGTGAAAGATGTGTCTTTTGAGTTGAGTATTATTTAAAATGATCACTGTGCATAAGCTGTTTTCTTAACAGGTCAGGATGTTTGTTTGACTTTAATTTACCTGGTTCCTAGAACACATGGGTAGGGAGCATTGCCTGAAAAGAGTTTAGCTTAGTCCAGTATAGTGCCACAATAAGGTTTGAGTCGCACTTCTCTAACTTACCTCTTCAGTTCACATGGTAGTACCTGCTTTGTTGGACTGTACAAAGTCAAAGTTACAGTTCTTGTTGCATCTGCTGTTGAATACTCTACAGTTAACATTTTTGTTCATTCCTGTTGAAATGTAGTTAGAGAACCCAGGAAAGACCATGTGACCCAAAAGTTTGAATAGACATAGGTTGAGAGATCACAGGTAAATGAAGTTGTTGCCAATGACGTGCATCTGGCACGTTACAGTTATTTTCTGATTGTGCTTAGCTGATTTATGGTGCCATAAAATGGCAAACCAGCCACAAAGTTATTCCACAGAAAACATGGAACATCTTTGTGGATTGTCTGTATGGCATCGTAAATTGAATAAGTAGCACCCCCATGCCAATGCGTCAGTTGACTGTCACCATTGGCATGGGGGCAGGGGTTGCCCTCGGGACTGGGCAAGCCATGGTCCTGATTTGAAAAAAAACAACCTGCTTCTGGAAGAGAGTGTTGCAGGGACAGCAGGTTAAAAGTCTTTTTTTGCGGGGCAGGGGATGAGCTTAGAGGCTCTGGCTACTGGGAAACCTGGCAACCCCTGAGACCAACAACCTTTCCTGCCTTCCTCTACAGCTTCCATGGGGGCTATAGGGCAAGGCACTTAAAATACTAGGTTGTGGAGAGTCAGGATGAACATACTCTTTTTAGATGATCTGGGACATGGGGACCCTAGGATGGGGGAAGAGGGTTCCCCGATTTCAGGGTCCTGGTTGTCTGGGACTTCTAAAAGCCAACATGTGCATCTGGGCTATCCTGAGGAGGGCCTACAATCAGCTGGTTCTCTTACTTAACCCTAGCATCCCCTGCTCTGGAACCTGCAGAGGGCCTGGGGCAGCCCTGGGTCCAGGACGGAGCCTACCCCCTACCCAATGGCAGAATTGGGCTGGGGGTCAACAGTAGCGCAATTAGGACTGGAGGAATCTTATGCCACATTGCAAACACTGTGCCTCCCAGCATGTGTTTGAAATGGAGGAATTTTATGCTACAATCCCAATTGCACCTTTTTTTTTTAATGTCAGTTAGGAGTCTTGGAGTTAGATTTGGGTTCTGTTTTCCATTCTTCCCATTTTTTATGAACTATAAACTACATGAAGGTCTATATGTGCCCCTCATGCAGAATAAGGAGATTGTGCATCTTTGTGAAGTGCTTCAAACGTCTTTATACAAGTTAAATGATAATCAGAGGTTGATGTTTTTGTTTGGAGCTTATTATTGGGTTCAATGGGCAAGTTGGGTGTCTTGGAACAATTCCAGTTTATCTGTTCTGGTTCTCTTAACATCTGTCCCTCCTGTGGGTAGGGAGCAGGGGGTGCTGCTTTTACCTTTCTTTTGCTGACTTCTGGCAGCTCCATTCTCCCATTCATAAGCACAGCCTATGGTGGTTTGCTTGTATTGTAATAAATTAGTATTTCTTTTGGTGCTATTTACTCATGACCAGATAATCTGGGGTGTTGCCCATCCACCCAGCCAACCCTGCTGGGCTGGCCTGTGTCAACACTACCCTTCCCCACAATCCCCCTGCCGCCACCTGTAACAGTTCACCAAAGCTCCTTAAGTGGCCCCCCAGCCCAAATAATTGCCCACCCTTGGCTTAGGTGGTCTGAAGAATAGGTGGAGTGGAGAACCAATAAAAATGGGAACAACCCCAAGCTCCAAAAGAACCCCAGACTAGAGAAACTGAGGTTGCAGTGATCTTGTTTCTTTGTAGGAATCTCTCTTATTTCTTGTGCTGTCTACAGTAAAGTCTTAGATCTTTGAACCCCGTCTGCTTCATTGTCAGTGGAACTCAGGGGAAAGACACAAATAAGTAATAAGGGCATGAGGAGGGAGGGTGCTGATCCTGGCAGTCTAAGGGACTTGGATTGAAGTTCCACTTCTAGAAGTGGAAATCAAACCATTGTATTTGAAAAGTAGGCAAGGAACACCAAATAAAAGTAGGTTTTTAAATACAGACCTATGTATCTTGTATAACTTTTACCTTTTTCCTTCTATTATCTATCTGAACTAGTACCCTTTAGCTTGAGATTCTGATATAAAGTATTGTCAAAATCATGTATTATCTATTAAACGTACTTAGTCCCACTCCATTTCCACACCCATGTGCATGTGCACACATGCATACATGTACCTGCACATACCTACCTACCTACCCACCCACTACAGAAGCAACAATGAAAGCGTAGTAAGATAAGTTAATGAATGTTTTTAGTACGAAGAAGACTAGAGTTTGAACATGGAAGGAAGGATGCAAGTTAGCAAATGTATTACTACAATCTCAATCTTACCTTTATTTGCTTTTTTCAAACATCTTTCCATAAGCAAAGTTCAATAATGTGTCTTTTTTTTTTTTTTTTACAGAAGTAAAATACAGTAGATAATCAAAATATGTAATGCATTCAAAATTTAAGTATGACCAGTGTTATAATCATGGAAAACCAAAAAGTTACTCTTATATTCGGAGTACCCTGTTTTATAATTAGCTGCTTACCTGGTTTTCATGAGCTTTACCTTGCAATTTTAGAACTGCATTAAATAAAATTTGTTTTCTGTGCTAATGACATGGATTGAATATTAGGTGTTTAATTTCTGTCTAAATGAGTTGCCCAAGCAGATGGGACAGATTGAATGAAAATGATGCTTATGTTTCTTGTATACTTTGTACCTTAATAACTTTGGAAGAGCTTAGCCAAAGTGTAATGTATAAAAAATATATTTAAACATACAAACATTTCAAATCATAAAATCGTCTTTGGTCTTTGTTGAATCCAAGCTGCAATAGCAGGAAGTGCTTGAACTCTTCTTTTAAGGACCCAGAGTTTAGGGTTGCTGTCTTCCAGGTCAGATTTAAGGGACAGAAGTGTTGTGCTGCACACATCCCAGTAAAAATCAGCCCAGGTTAGCTAGTGAAGACAAAAAAGATAAAGCAACCTAACTAAAACAGGAATTCTGTTGTTTGATGTCATTTTACTAACATTATGAAATAGAAAGTATAGCGTGAATCTAAAGTGCAACTGCAAAAGCTACACTTCAAACCATCTACACTAAACAGCTAAATTGTGTTTAAGGAAAGAGGTCTAGTTCAAGTACAGAACAGTTGTATGCTGATTTATTTTAATTTGCAGCTCAAGTCGTTGGCGTTAGATGGATAATCAAGATATAGGTAGATCCTGTCTGTGCTACAGATTTTAAGTGTTATAACTTGGGCTGTGAACAGATGTTACAGTTGTACTACAAACACCTTTGTAACCCTAAAAATGTTAAGGGGACAGATGTGCCCTCTTTAGTATTACAGAAAGATTAAAGAGAAGCTGGACTGAATGATAGGATTTCTCATTCAAATGCAAACAACTGAACTATAGTGAAAGCAACACAAAAAATTGCTGAGTATTTACTGTCAGGGTGCTCCATTAGTGACCATGTTCATGTTATTGCTGCTTTACCAGATGTGGCCCATGAAGCCAGTGTGAACAGCTCATC